TGATTCAATACTGTTAAATGTCAATTCTCAAATTGATGTAAAATTTAAAGCGATCTTAGTCAAAAGCCCAAAAGGCCTTTTTTGAACTAACAAAGTAAATTTACATGGAATGTAAAGGACCTAGAAAAGTCAAAATCACTCTGAAAAAGAAATGTAGGAGACAAACTACCTGGCTTCAAGTCTCATCAACTACTACAAACATGTAAAAAAGAATTAAGAAGTGTCTTGTACCAACTTCCCACAATGAATGTAATAATTATGTACTATAAACACGTACCAATAAAAACACTTTTTTAAAAACTGTAATAATCAAGACAGTATGATTTAGGTATAAAATAGATTATTTACCCTCCCCCAAAGGAACACATATGTCACTACAAAAACTCTACATGAATATTCACAGCAACTTTAGCTGCAATAGTATCAAAATGGAAACACGAGACTGTCTGCCAACAGATCGATGCATACACCAATGGCAGTAGAGTCACATACAGCAGGACACTATCCAGCAATAAAGTGGGCCCAGTTGGTCAAATCTATAACTGTATCCACTCAGAAGGCTGAGGCAAAGGATTACAGCTTCAAAGCCAGCTTGGTAATACAGCAAGATATGATTTCAAAAATAAATAAAAAAAACTGGACATAATGGTGCACACATGTAATTCCAGCAATTTGGAAGGCTGAGGCAGGATAACACCAAGTTCAAGCCCAGTCTGGGTAACTTAGTGACTTAGCAAGAACTTGTCTCAAAATAGAAGGGGAAAAAAGTTAAGAACTGGGAAAAACAGTTCAGTGAGAAGGCCCTAGTTTTATACCCCAGTACCATAAATAAATAAATAAATAAATAAATAAATAAATAAATAAATAAATAAATAAATAAGGAAATGGACCATGGGCATTGGCAATAACATGGATGAATCTCCAAATAATTTTACCACTGAAAGATGCCAGATCTCAGGGGGGAGGGGGGCCCCCTGCTGAATGGTTCCATCATATAAATTCTAGAAAATAAAACTAACCTATAGTGCCAAAAAGATCAGTGGTTGCCTTTAGACAAAGGATATGGAGGGAAAGGTATAAGCAGGAAAGATTATAAAATAGCCTAAGGAATCTTTTGGAGGTGATACATTCATTGTGACTACATTCTATGGTGCATACATATACGAAAACATTCAACTATATACCTTTACATGCATTTTATTATATGGCAATTATGCCTCAAGACAGCTGTTAAATAAGACTAGCATTGCAGACTGATTTTTGCCAGATAGGTGGAACCACAGACAGTGAGGACATTTGTATGAAAGTGGGTGAAATAATGAGCCATGAAATCTAGTATGACTAGAGCAGGAAATTAGGAGAGAAGGGACTGAAAAAGCAAAAATAAAGGATAATTAAGTAAAAAAACAGAAGTGGAATGACTTAAAGACAAAACCCGAAGGCTAGGAAACTAGCTCTATAGAATGAAATGAATTCAAAGTTTCAAAGGCAACGGAATTCTGAATAAAAAGTACTAAGTTATGATATTAAGAGTAGGTAACCAGCTGGGCATGGTTGCGCACACCTGTAATCCCAGCACCCAGGTGGCTGAGGCAGGAGGATCACTGTGAGTTCGAGACCAGCCTGGGCTACATAGTGAGTTCCAGGGCAGTATGAACTATATAGTGAGACCCTGTCTCAAAAAAAAAAAAAAATTATTTTAATAAAATAAAAAGAGTAAGTAACTAAAGTAGAGTTGATATATCATTTGGAATGACAAATAACTGAGAATCTAGGATGCTGAATTGGTCATTGTATGTTAAAATCACCTGGGATGATGGCAGAATGTGGGTTAAAAAAATATAACCACAGGTGAGATATCACAAGTCTTTACTCAATGAAAGGGATATTGTACCTTAATTTTTCTATTTACTTTTAAATAAAAGTTTGTTTAGAGTAGTATTTATTGTGCACTCCAGTCAAACCACTTACAAAAACATATTATTCACCTGTAAACAAACTCTATCATTCAATTCATTAATTCTTATTTCATTTTTTTTCTCTGTTCTTTTTTTTTGTGTGCATGTGGTACTGGGGATTGAACTCAGGACCTTGCACTTGTGAGGCAGGCAGTGGCACCACTAAATCTCTGGCCCTAATTTCTTATTTCTAAGCATTACTTGACTATTAATTATATTTCAAAGTTTACTCGAAAGTGTGAGTTCAGGTAGAGCAAACACATAAAGAAACATCATAACGTGCCAATTCTCCAAACGAACGATATCGACATCCTTTATTCTGAGCCACAATGACTTTATGTAAGATTTATTATAATTCCAATGATATTTCCTAGACAAATCTTACATTATTTCATTGGCTTTTTATCAAGAGAGAAAAAACAGCTCTCAATTCTTCTGAAAAAGAACTTTACTGAAATGGAATAGTACAAAGAATATCAAATACCAATTCATTAATCAAGAGCGAAAAGAATGGAAAAAAATGCTACAAATCCAACATTCACTGGCCTATTTTTTGTATCTCTTGCATATGCTACAAATATTCAAAACTAAAAATTCCTTTTTTATAGCAAATAATCATTTCAAACCACCCTTATTTCATCTTTTTAAATCACACATATTAACATAATTTCTAAGACAAGGTTTCAATGAGACAAAAATCCACTTTTATATGAATGTACTATCCTGGAAAATAGTATTTATAAAAATTTTTGATAGTGAATTATAAAATGGGTTCTTTGCTTATTTTATCAATGATACATTAACAAGGAAATAACATTCTACTTTTTTAGAAATTATCTCAATTTTGAAGACTTAAGACTCTTTATAAAAAATAAAATTATTATTTCTTTTTCTTTTTTTGGTACTGGGGATTGAACTCAGGACCTTGTGCTTGTGAACCAGCCTCAACTCCTTACCCAAACAATTACATGTAAAATAAGAAAACAAATTAGAAGAGATAAATATACAACACTGCAGAAAAAAAAATGACACTGACAGTAAAGAGAACAAACAGAAATAACAAAATACATAGAAAATAATGAAGAAATATACTGAAGTATCTGAAAATAAAAGAAAATGGTATCTGAGATTTGCTTCAATGTAATTTACAGTGTGGAAGGATCATCTTCTACGGTCTCCTCACAGAGTGACTCTACATCATACCTCCTTAACCTTGTCTCATTTCCCAAATTTTCTGACTACTCCTCTCAATCTTTTTAGATGTTTCTCTTTTTCTACTTGCCTCGGAACTTTGAGATTTCTGAAGTTCTTGTCTTTTCAAATTTTATGGACAACTGCAAGATTTAATTAGATCTAAAATAGGACGTAAAGAAAAACAAGTCCTTCCCAGCCTTAGGCAGTAATCTCCATCATTGCCTTCTCCCCTGTAGCTGTAACTCCTTGTGCTGGTGCAGATAAAATTGAGAACTATGTCCCATAAACAAAGTTTATGACACTCTATTCTCATGATTCATAAGACACTGTCTTATTTCAAGGCAAAGTCACAAAACTGTTTGCCCTTGTCCTGTTCCAGTAAACTCACTTGCTAGTCACTAGAAAAACTACCCTCAGAGAAACTATTCAGTATTTACACATGTGTGACTTAATTTATTTCACTTAGGCATAGGAGAAACTATAATAGTACATAAGATCCTAATGATATAATGGACAATGTGAAATAGGAAGAAAAGGGCTAAAGGTGTAGGCAAAGTGGGAAGGGTCGGGAAGGGGAATAAGGGAAAAGAAAAAAATATGAGAAAATGAAAAAATGGAAATAAAGTGTTTGTAAATGGGGAGGGGAGGAGGGGCTGAAGGGAGGGCAGGGAGAACCAAGACCTGTCATGTAAAGGTACAAGATCCCAATAATGAATGTAACTACTGTATACCTAAAATGTACCAATAAACTCAATGAGAGAAAAAAGAAAGAAAAAAGAAAAACTACCCTCTTCAACAAAATGTATAAAAGCTAGACCTTCTCTTTGTTCAATGCTCTTCCTTTGGACAGCAGTCTGTTGAGCCAGTATATACCTTAAACCTGAAGTAAGTCCTGTTTCAGTCTGTGGGTCTCTCCGTTCTCTTACAATCCCACAACAGACCTGCAGGCCAATGACCCTCAAACTGTCATTTTTTTTCTTCTTCTTCATCTCTCAAAAGATGTATTGTAAATATATTTTCAATGCTATATACTGGATTATATTTTTAAAAGACCCTCAAATTTTTACTACATCCTTTACTTGGTGACACAGGCATTTTTCACTTTGGTTAATGTATCTATTGAGATCTATTACTACTACTTAAAATACAATATCCCAAACCTAATATATAATATTTCTCAATGCTCCCACCAAAAGCAAGAGCTGTTCTCACAGATTTCTTATTTCTTATACCAATATCCAATCAACCGGGTTTCAAAATCCTGTATCTTCAGGCCTAGTCATATTACACATCCTTTCAATCATACACTTTTCTATTTCTACTACTACAAGTGTCCTTTAGCTTTTGTTACCTCCTTACTAAGACTATTGCCAAGGCTTCCTTTCTCTGGTCTTTTCACCTCAATCTATCAGATAGAGTTGCCAGATTAATATTCCTAAAGATAAACTTCAATAACTTTACTCACTACTCAAAAATCTTTTATGAATCCTTTCTGCTTAGTAAATAAATCTAAATTCTCTAACCAGTCAACGACTTTTACATTACCTAAGCTCCAGTAAAACTGAACTCCCATGGCATTTTATTTATCCCTTTGTGAAGGTAGAGGTCTGCCAGCTACTGCACCCGGTTTAATGTAGGTCTTACTTCTCCCATCATTGTTGACTGTTTAAACCAGGGATCATATTTAGTATCTCTGGATAGAAAATAACAGTAGTGTTTCTGAAGAAAGGAAAGTAAGAATTCAGAATAAAATCAAATTAAATTTAGGTTAAAAATAGTATTTGAATTATTTTCCTTGTAGATGTAGTCTTTCCACAATGAGCGTAGGAAATAAAATCCATTTATTACCTGTTATTACATTTATATCTGGATACTGGTTTTCACAAAGACCAACAGCTTTGCTATCCCTCTCAAAAGCCTCTCGAAGTTCTTTCTTGACTGCTGCTGAACCACATAATCGATACAGGCCTACTACCTAGAAATAAAATGATGGCCACATTACAGTAAATTTGATAAATGAAAATATAGTAGTACAATATAAATCATATGAATTTGATAATCAATTATGTTCTGATGGCACTTAATTATAATACCTCAAACACAGGTTTTGAAATTTCATTAGACTATACTGATTAGTATAACAAACCATCCTATTATTTCAATTAAAATATAATTTTATACTCTTAGCTATATCTTACCAAAAAGATATAACCCATTCTCTTTAGTTTTACATGCCCAACCAATTAACTCCATATCATGTACCCTTTCAATCTTTTGTTCTGTATTAGCACAGTGGTTAAGCACAGTGGAGTTGTAAAGCCCCACTCTGTCAATTTTCGCTTGGTAAATTAAGGCAAGATTTTTTATCTCTTTAAAATTCACTTTCTTTATCCATAAATAAGTTTACAGTTCAAACAAGATAAAAGGGTACTACTTGTGAAAAGCTTTTTATGGGGGAAAAAACAAATCAAATGGACTATAAAGTTAAAGAAATTTAATTAAAATAATACAATTAAGGTAAGATAAAGTTTCTAGTTTAAACACTCAAACAACCTACAACAACATTTGTTTTTAAACCTGTTCAGTAGCCAGCGTGGTGGTGCATGCTTATAATCCCAGCACTCAGGAGGCTGAGGCAGGAGGACTGCTGCAAGTATGAAGCCAGCCTCAACTACATAGTGAGCTTAAGGCCAGATTGAACTACATAATGAGAGACTGTCTCAGAAAAAAAAAAAAAAAGCAATGGTTCAGACAGGTTCTAAAGTATTAAGTCTTAGGAAATTCACTATAAATTCACTGAAAGAAAACCAACATGGTCTATGAAAAGAAAAAAAAATGGCTGATTAACCTATCAGACTTATTTGAAAGAATAAACATTAAGAAAATTAAGGAGTATAAGTGGCTGTTACCTATACGCCCACATCAAAGACTAGGAAGCTCAGTCATCTTGAGCTGAACAAAGTTGTGGGGAAAGAAATTATTTCAAACAAAGATAATCCTCAAGAAGTTGAACTAGGAATCACTATGTTATAAATAATCTAGGAGTAGAAATACATAAATGAAATTTTCAAGTTCAGTTATGACCCCAATTCTGAGTTTCTAAAGAATGGACAGAACACAGACAGAGGTTGGGTCTCAATATGAGAAAGGATAAATGGACACAAGGAAATGTTATCTAAAATAATTGAGATGATAAGCTCCAAGATGATTGGAAGACAATAAAGGAAACTATTTCTAGGAAGTAGTAATACAAAGTGCTGCTACATTCAAAGGGATCAACATAATACAGGAAATCAAGGAAGACACTAAGAAGAAAATTCAGATTTTCTACTCTTCATGATGCCAGCACATTGAAGATGGCCATGTGTTAGGCTGATCACATCTCAAGACAAACCTGGTAAAAATGTAGATGGCCTTTTGGGGGCCAGGCATAGTGGCAAACACCTGTAATCCCAGTACTTGGAAGGGTAAGTAAGGTATGAGAATCATCATGAGTTATGGGGCAGCCTGGGCTACATAGGCCCAGCCTGAACTGGATAGCAAGACTATGTCTCCAAGAAAAAAAAAAAAAGGTACTTGGTCTAGAAAACAAAGCCAACATATTAAGTAGGATCAAAGGAAATGCTTCGAAGAAACAAATTTGTACATGGCTCTGCTCATGTAGGTGTATTTACATGTCATAAAAACCAACGTATCCCCCTGAAGAAAATGATCCTGCAAGGTAAAGAAGTACCACTTAAATAGACAATAAACTAATAAAATAATTTTATCCCAAAAAGCTGAAGTTTTTAATAAGAATGAATAAAGAAATGAAGATCAAATACAAGTATTTCAAGGAAAGGATATTTTAGGATATCTCTAAGTTCAGATGCTGTGTTCTTTAACCAAACACATGAAGTATATATGTTTGATGCCTTTATCAGAGCCAGAATCTGTACTGCCTTGACTAGGAATATGATCTCAAGTAATTTTTCCCATTGGAAGCAGAAAATAGATGGTAGTAGCATTGAAAGCATTTGGAAAATGCAGGAGTCCTTGCCACAAACTATTTTTGTATGACTATCAAAACTTGATCTTCACAGTAAAAAAACAAGAACTATTTCATAAAAAGGTTAACAAAATTGAAGCAGTATTATAGTTCGCAAAATGCTGACACAGTAGTCTCTTTCTGTGTGTGTGAGTACAGGTAGGTAAGGAAAAAGCAAGCGAGACAAAATGAAAAAAAGGTTTTTAAAAAGTACATTTCCAAATTATAATATAAAACTTACTTTTTCATTTACAGAAAATTTTTATTAAAATAAACTTTTCTAAACTTTAGAGAAATTAAAAAGCATTGTTAAAAATATTTTCTTGGTACTCAAAAAAGATGATTAACAATCTTTTTACACCTACTCTCCATAAACTTCGGAAAATAAACTCTAAAAGTACAAAGCCACTTGAGTTGCTTACTTTAATAACCAACTGTAAAAAATTTCTATTTAATAATTAGCTTTAAGTTCTGCCTAATCTCTGAACTTTACACACTGCCAAATTTCAAAAAAGGAAAAGAAGGAAAAACTGAAGAATATTAAGAAAAAACAGTTGGAAAAGTTGGCCCAAAAAGCTGGATTAGAAAGCAAAGGCCTCACTCCTACAGACAAAATAAGATAGAAGCATGTATCTGAGCTGAAAGAGTTTAGATGTGCTACTTCTCAGCTTTAGGAAGCTACTACATCTATGTTTACGCACACAAGCAAGTAAAACCCAGAGATTTGAGTTGTCCAACATCACACAGCCAAGTAGTAACGCAAGTAAAACCAGAATCTAGGTCTTCAGTAACTTAATACAAAATTCCACTAACTTGTGTTCTTTCTATAGTTTCTACTTTAATATTCTAATATTAATATTTAAAACCAAGAAATCATATTTCAGATTTTTAAAAATATTTATCCTTATCTTTTAATTTTTATACCCAAAGTTGTAAAAATCTGATAGCAGTTAAAAAAAAAAATTGTGCATGTAGTTTTTTTTTGCTTCATATGTGACAGAAGTGTGTAAAAAATTTTTATACCTCAATAATATCCTCAGTGATATGCTATTTCTCATTGTCATAGTCCACATGTATTAATAGCTAAAATTTATACACTTTGCTACAAGTAACACTAGGTTGTTTCTTTTAATGGTTACCTTTGCCTTATTTAAAAAGGAATGAAATATGTTCTTATTAGCAGGACCTCTCCTTGGCCTCCATATAATCCCAGAGCAAAGAAAGTGTAAGTTTTTCACTTCCAAAGAGAAGGACTGAGAGAGTAAGAAATAAGAGCAGGGAAGTTAATTTTTAAAATGAAGCTGGGTATAGGATCCACTCTTAGAACATCTTCTTACAGAATGGCCAACTATGCAGAAACATTCCTTAAATCAATTAGCATTTGCCTATATTACCAGCCCTGGCTTTTCCTAGGAAAGCCACTGTAAGGCAATCTTAATCTCTAGTTATAAACCCTCACAGCTCTGTATCACAGCAAAAATTGGGGAAACATTTAACACAGCCTTAAATCACTGATAAAACAGGTTATACCTATGAATTGTACCCTAAACAGTAATACCAAAAAAATAAAGGTTAGTAATGGGAAAAATGTCTGAATTAAATTTTTTTTTTACCTTACCTTGTATTTCTTCCCTAAGACTTATAATCAGAAATTAATAAAGGAAGTCGTAGAGAAACACAATAAAATAATACCTGACAACCTCTGTTTTCAATTTCCATAATACATTTCTGTATCAAGAGTGGCACCATCAATCCTACATTTTCTCTTTCTACAACTTTTTGAATGTCAACACCAAATATTACTGAACCTCGATTTTTATCTACTCCATGAAGAGAATTCTCCCACTGTTCCATAAGAGTCATTTTCAAATAAATAAGACCTCTTGGTTCAAGTTTAACAGCCAACTGATGTGTCTTTGTCACTCTGAACAAAGTGGGGAGAACAACAGTTCCATGACAACACACTCGATTTTTTCTTGGAGTGGGCTCCCAACTGAATACTACTAATTTCAAATGTTGTGCATTTTCAATTTCTATGTTGAAAGTGTGATCCATGTCTAAAAATGTTGTCCGACATGTAAGCAAAGCTGTTCTTGCTTTGTTTACTGAATCTACCTGAATTGCACAGAAGACATCTTTTGAATCTATCCGAGGGGGTTTTAAATCCTCAGCACCATAGAAATGCACACTCATGAGCCCAGATATGTACTGTATACACTTAGGTTGATCAGAAAAGCTATAATGTCTAAAAGCATCTATGTCTATTTCATTTTTGTTACAACTACTTGGAATGATTTCTTTTCCTTTTCCAAATTTGTTTTCAGGTCCATGTTTGCTAGATTTAGTTATAAGTTCAGGTGAGTCTCCATCACTGAGATAACCACCTCTGCAGGAATACTTTGAATTCAAAGTTTTCTTCTGGTAGCTGTGCTGAGAAGACACAGTAGTATCAAGATGGTACCGGCTTATAACATTCCTCTTAGCAGCTGTGGTAGTATTCCCAGAAGGTAGAATAACAGCATGATGAACTTCTCTACAGTTACACTTAGACAAGGAAGGAGTACTATATGGGCTGTGTATATAATTCAAGGTTCCCTTAACACTTAGCTTTCGACTAAATTCTGGCAACTTTTTCATTTTCATGGAAAGTTTCCTCACAGTTCGTGGAGATTTTATTTTATCTGGTAAAGACCAATTAATTGAACTGCCTTTTTTCACAGGGCTAGGACTTGGTGAAGATGGTTCTATAACTCCCAATTCAGTCCTATTTGCAGCAGCTAAGATCCCAGGACCTTAAAAAGAAAGAAAAAAGATTATAAAGTGATATGTCTTTTTTCTACTTTTATTCCTATTTTATAAATGTCAACTAAACAATGTATCACATGGACAAATTCTTTCCTTATTTCATCTCAGTGGGGAGATTTAGTAGTTTAGGTCAGTCTCTATCTCTATTTTCAAGCAGAATACATATCAATGATCTCCAAATGGCTTACAGTAGAAAGAATCATCTTCCCATCTCCTATTCTGAAGTATAATGCAAGAACTTTTACAAAATTCCCTACTGCAATAAATTCCAGTGAGTATAATTTTGAACAGTAGATATCTGATGAAAGCTTCCTTTTTTTTTTTTTTTTTTTTTTTTTTTTTTTTTTTTTTTTTTTTGGTACCAGCTCACTCGGGTCCTTGCGCTTGGAGGCAGGCAGCAGAACTACTGAGCTAAATCCCCAGCCTTAAAGCTTCCTAGTTTAATATGTTTATTTTAATTGGAAATGCTACTCTAATATAAGAATGCTTTTCTTCTATATTTATAGTCCTCTAAATCTAAGCGTTACCACACAGTTTAAAAAACAAAGTTAAAAACCAAACAAGTTTATGATTTTGGCAGCCAAGAGCCCTTCCTTGTTCTAACATTCTTTTAGAATATATCACCAAAGACTAAGTGAACTCTAGTCAATGAAAAATAACAGAACTTTAAATGTCATAAATCTATTAAATTTTTTTTTTTTTTTTTTGGTTCCAGGGATGGATCTCAGGACCTTGCACTTGCAAAGCAAGGGGCGGCACCACTGAGCTAAATCCCTGGCCCACTACTAAGTATTTTGGTGAAAATAATGTTAAAAGTAGTTTGATATTAGTAAACTAGTATTTTATTACGATTAATAACACCAGCCAACATTTATTGAGTACTTAGTATGCACGGGCCCTCATTTAATTCTCACAGTAACCATATGAGTTAAATAACATCAGTCCCCCCATTTCCAGATGAGGAGCCTTGGGCATAGAGCTATCTCATTTGTGCAGGGTGCAGGATTACACAGCTTAAAAGTGGCAGAACCACACCTCAAAACTGCACTGGCTTTCAGAGTGGATGCTCTAGATACTACACTTTTTAGCCGCTCCATCCTCCTAAACACTTTATGCCCAGATATAGACATTAAATTGATTTTAAAGACTTTTTTACAACCATTATTACAAGTTAAAATATACCACTCAAACTTACACATTCCCACTAAAAAAAAAACAAGACAGGTTAATCAATTTCATTTTTATATTTGTACTTGTTCCTAATAATCCAATTATTTGTAATTTATATTATTTCTAATTCTTTGACTGTTCCTTCTAGGCAAACATCTAATAACCTTAGCATCATAACCTAATCTATATAAAACTATATTTTACAATCAAAATGAAAAAAAGTACTTACTCATTTTAAAACATCAATAGACAAAATGGCCTTTCTTTAAAGTATCAATAGTCTCCCTCCTCCCTGTTCTGTGTGTCCTAATTGAAAAGAAGTTAATTTCTTTATAAAGAGAAGATTATTTCAAGTATGCCTACTGGGCTCCTCTGGGTAATAGCTAGTAAGAAATAGAGTGTTTATAAACTACACAAGGCATCCCCTTGTACTGCAAATCACAGTTCAATTCAACAGGCTTTCTAGTCTGAAACATTCGACAGTAATCAAGGGTTTATTTCAGTCTACAAACAATCCTTTTGTCACAACAGTCTAGAAAAGTGACCCAGTGTATGAAACTGCTCTAGATTTTATGTTATTAAGGAGTTTTACATTCTAACTCTTTTTTACACATTAAGTAAATAATTCCTCTTAAAGTCTTTTAATTGTTAAAATTAAATATAGCACATGTTAGCTAGCAACTTCTATTGAAGATAGGAGTGACTTTATTAAAACAAAATGCTATTTTTATAAAATTAAAAAGTTGAAATATTACCAAGTTCCACAGTCACTTAAAATTAAACTACAATATACTAACTAAATCATAGAATATAAAAGCAAGTATAGAATGAAAATCCTCAAATATAAATGTAAGTACTAGGGTAGAGTCAAGTGAAACCAGCATACTCCTTCAGCACCCAGAATACTAACTGACACTCAACATTTGTTGAATAAATGAAGGGACTGACCAATTGCTACCAACACTGCAAATCAGTTAACTTTTTAGGAACTCTAACATAGGAATTATCAGTAGTAATTACCAGTCATAAAGATCCAGTAATGATATTATTAATTGATACTAATTAATGCAGCAGAAGAAAGGAATGAAAGAAAATCATGAAAAAAATCATTGCAATCGCAGTGCAAACCATCTATCAAAACCTAATACCAGGAAAACAGTCCAATACATTAGGGTGTATCAACCCAATGAAATTCAATAAAACTTAAAAAACAGTACTGTTAGCACTCAGGAGGCTGAGGCAGGAGGATCACCACAAGTTCCAGTCTAGACTGGGCTACATAATGAGTTCAAGGACAGCCTGAACTACACAGCAAGACCCTGACTCAAAAAAATAAAAATAAAACAATAAAAACAGAACAAACCAAACAAAAAATGATGTTAATTTACATGTAATAATGCAAGAGGAAGACACTGAGAAAAAAGAGCAAAATAAAAGCTCAATCAATTGCAACTAGACTGCAATCTGACTGCAAACCGATTACAACTTCATCTGAAAGTTAAGCCAAAAACAAGCCACAGTTGTTAGGATGATTTTTAAAAATCGTCATTCACATTAAAAATGCCTGTACATTAGCTTTCCCATTTTCTGACTGAAAAATTATTTTGAAATTCAACAAATGTCTTTGTTAACTTCTCAAGAGCCTGCTGTCAAATGTATTAAGGAAAGTAAATCACTATAGGTATTATTTCTACCAAACTAAAACAAAAATCTCTCTTAGGGCTTGTAACTAGATGTCTTTCCAAACACTATGGCATTCAGGGCTGGGGATTTAGCTCAGTGGTTCTGGCACCCACTTTGCAAGTGCAAGGACTTCAGTTCAATCCCCGGTACCAATAAATAAATACATACATACATACATACATACACACACATACACACATGCATACATACTCTAGGCATTCACAAGTGGAGCTTTTTTTCGGAGGTGACTGGATTTATAGCTCGTAAATGTGGACTAAGAGTATGATACTAGAATTCAGCATGTGGATAATGGAAACCCCACCCTGAGTATGGTTGCACCAATCAAGAGGCTTGTAGCCTGGATGGACTATAAAGGGACAGAAAGAAGGTGGTCTCACTGTCTCTCTGCCTTCTGCCTGCCCTGCCACACCAACAACTGTTTTTCCTCTGTTAATACCCCTCTGTCCTGCCACCCTGCCTTGGAACCAGCTGACTATGGTCTGAAACCTCTACAAACTGTGAGCTGAAATAAACTTTTCCTCCTCTAACTTTGGGTCTCAGCAATGAAAAAATAGCATATAGAGTGCCGACATATTTCCCTTGGTCAGTTTAGGACTGTGCCTACTGGATTTGAATTACTAAAAGAATGAGAGTAAGAAAGGAAATATAAATCTCAATAATTCCATACTTTACAACATTTCTTAAGGGCTTGCTGGTGGGAATGTAAACTAGTACAACCACTATGGAAATCAGTTTGCAGATTCCTCAAAAAACTATGATAGAAATTCCATTTGACTCAGCTATCCATCCCCCTTCTAGGTATCTTTCCAAAAGAGTTAAAGAAATCATATTACAGGGATACATATATACCCATGTTTACAATATAATTTATAATAGCTAAATCTTGGAAATGGCCTATCTGTCCATCAACAGATGAATGGATAAAGGAAATGTGGTATTTATACACAATAGAGTTCTACACTCTGCCAAAACAGATTTGAGGCATACATAGCTAAATGGATATAACTTATGATCATATTTACTGAAATAAGTCAAACACAAATTTAAGTATCTCTTGGTTTCTCTCACATGAGAAGCTCAAAAAAATATATATAAAGAGAAAAAAACGATAGATAAAAGAGGAGGAACTGGGGAGAACTTTTTCAAATGGGTGGAGGCACAAGAGATAGAGGGACAGGGAAGGAAGGGAAAGGGGAAAAATTGTAAAAATAGGGCTTTTGCCAATGGGAAGGAGACCAACAGTTGCAAGGAGCAGTTAAGAAGGGAAAGGGTTAAGGGATAAAAAACAAAGAGAGAAAAAAGAAGATGTGTTAATATGTATTATGTGCACGTACCAACTCCCCCAAATAACTGTAATCATCATATACTGCGAACATGTACTAATTAAAAAAAATAATGAGCAAATAAAAACATAAATTTTTGTTAGTCCTTCTAGGTTCACAATTTGCCACAAACATAAAACTAGTAAGTTTACGACAATAGATTTCATGTCACTATAGAGGTACTGGCTTTCTAACTTGGTTCTTGTCCTTATACCCTCTTGGCTTCTCTGCTCCATTCTGTACTCATTCTTGTGACACTGTAACCTTCTTTGATCATAACCTACACTGTCAATTATTATCACATACAGTATTTATTTCTCTTCCCATCCAGATTACAAGAGACACATATTTACTCTAGAAAATTAGTCTACAATTAGAAATGCATAAAGAAAAAAGTTTTTAATTATCTTCAATCCCAACACTCAGAAAACAAAAATACCATTATTATTAGCTGTCAGTATCTTTCAAAATTGCCACCATACAGTATACAGTTTTGTAATTCACTTTTCCTCTTAATTTAACATTTATTCTATTCTACCTCCCCATCTCCCTGAGAAAAATATACAAATGAAAATAGTTTATTTGTGTTGTATAGAAACACCAATGAGGAAGTGAGAAAATTCAAGGTAAATACCAAGACTGCTACCACTATGGGCAACTGGAGCTTAATGTCATGAGAAAAATCTGGGGAAAAATGTAGAATATTTATTGAGAAAGGTCTGCCCAAAAGATAAAGGAGCAGAGTAGGCGTAACCAGCTCCTGTTAGTAATAGGTTGCCCAGCAAAGAGTTTCCCTGACTTCAGAGAAAGTTCTCAGGCAGAAATGCTGGTAGAATCATGTTTTCCCAATTTCAATGGAAAGTAACAAAACCCAAGAAATATGGGGTAAGGCACTGACAGCTATCCCATATCTCTGAATATTCTGCTTCACTTAAAGTGTTACAAATTAAAATGACATGATAAAACACCACTAAGTTCTAGTCTACATTTGCCATTTGCAACCAAATATGCCTTATGCTTTGCTACCTGGGGAGAGTAAATGGAACCAATAAAGGCACATCAGAAAACTGAAGACAATCAAAGAAGAACAAAAACCATTAGGATGAACAACATGAAATGCTTTTTCACAAACAGATCATAAGATGTTGAATATCAGTACATTGCATATATATATATGACTTCAATTTTTTGGTATTTGGGTTCCATAGCTACTATAGCACCTATTATTAGCAAGATTTTACTTCTGCTTCTTCGTCTACTCTTTCCTTCCTTTGCTCATGGAGTAATTCAGACACAAAAATACAACTAATCGTATACTGAAAGACATTTTTCAACCAGGCCAAGTATAAGTGAATGAATGAATATATGAAGCAAAATAAGATTTACATAAAGAACATACATCTTTTTCTACTCTACAATTACTCTTTCAACTAAGAGAAAAGCAATTATCATCTCAAAGGATCAACACATTAAAATATATCAGATTACAAAACCAAGACTATGATAAAAACTGCCATGTAGAGTTAAAAAAAAAATTATATGCCTGAGTTTTCTTTATGTGTAAAATATGTTCACTTTATTAGAAAAAATATATAAATATAATAGATATTGATATTTAGCTTTAACAATTATCAAAGAATTTAAAAAGAAGAAAGAAAAAGTAAATCTACGATCTTTACCTGCAAAAGGAGATTTGAACATGGAACAGTCCTCCACCATTATACCTTCTTGCGTCTTGTATCCTCCTAGCCTCTGCTTGTGCTGCTGCATAGGTTCTGTGGAATTGATGGAATTTATAGGATTCATTTCATTCAACTGCATGGTCTGAATATCACCCATGTTTTCAGAAGAGCACAACAAATCTTCAGTATACTGCTCTGCTTTCATTAGGTCACTACTAGAGGGTTTGTGCAAACTCGTGACAGGGAGCTGTAGAACAGCAGGGTTTGCCTCTCTAAAAGTCAAGGCACTTGACGTGCCAAGGTCATCATCCTCAGGAATAGGATTGTACCATATTTCTCCTTCATCATCTGCATCATTGTCCTCATTAAAATCTAAAGAACAGTTTCTTGATAATGAAGAGCTTGTAGCATTACATACCATGTATGTACAATATTCTTCAGGTGATTTAAGGAAAGGCTGTGATAGCTGATGGTAAGATGGAGTCACAGGTGAGAATGATAAATTGCTTCTATTTTGGTATTTTTTATTTTCTTCTTCCAGACTAAGAGCTCTCAGACTACTCTGATAGAGCCAGTTGCGTTTTTTTGAAACAGTAATGTTGTTAAGTGGCTTGTGACCTCTGAATTCTACATTATCTTTCAGATCTTCAAGTTCTCTTCTCTTCATTGAAGACCCATAGACATCTTCAAATAAATCTGTTTCAAAGAAGAAAAGATGGACTATCACACCTGATACACCAAGAGAGTCACGCCACTTCTTAAATGTTAAAATATTTCAAGCCAGGGATTTAGCTTAGTGGTTGCCACCGTCTGTCTTGCAAGCGCCAGGTCCCGAGTTCAATCCCCAGTACCAAAAAAAGAAAAAAATATTTTAAAAGAATGAAAAAGAATATTAATCACATTCACCAACAAAAGTCTAACCTGAAAAAAACCTAGACTGTCCATCTAAATATGATTTTTATTATTCAGAAATTAGTCTACTAATAAAAGTGTCACAAAATTCTGAGAAAGACTATACAGTTTGACATGCCTTTACAAAACCCAGTGTTAACAAAGCCTTAGCCTAAGCAAAATATACTTTATAAAAAGCTTATATAGATAGAATGCTTTGCGCATAGTATATCTTAAATTAATATTTGAATAATTTTCAACTATTAAAAAGACCAGAAGTCATCAGAAAACAAGTCCTGCTGGGCATGATGGTGCACGCCTGTAATCCCAGCACTCAGGAGGCTGAGGCAGGAGGATTGCTGTGAGTTCGAGACCAGCCTAGGCTACATAGCGAGTTCCAGGTCAGTCTCAACTACATAGTGAGACCCTGTCTCAAAACAAACAAAAAACCAAAAATAAAAAAATAAAAAAAATAAAGTCCTATCTTTACACATAAAGACAAACTTTCAATAAATAACCTAACAAAAAAGTATGCCTTAAAGATAAACTTTCAATAAATAACCTAACAAAAAAGTATGCCTTACTGATTATTAAAATTTCAACATAACATTGGTTCTTAAATGTACAACAAAGTAGTAATTTATGCAGAGTTTGAGTTATAAATATCAAGGGCAAAAATAAAAATAATCTCTTAAGGAGGTCCAGATTATAACTAAACACTGTCTCACGGTGAACACAACACAGCTATATTATTATTGGCCAAGGACAAACTTTAGCAATAGGCAAACACTCAACAAAATAGTCCCTGCCCTTAAGAAATTCATAATTCAGTGGGAGACATCAGATATTTAAATTTATATATGTGTTATTATAATGTAACATTTCTATCATCTGAAGAGGAAAAGGAGTTGCATAAAACAGGATTCAGTGGCAGTAAATAAGCTAAATATCTGTCCATCGTGATAATTCACTGCATATAGGTAATTAAAATAAAAACCAGTTTTTAGAAATCTAAGATCATGTCAGATTTGTAAATCAGGGAAGTATGGTCTTACACTATCTCGAGTATGTACATATACGGTTAACTAATCTTAGTCCTACAACAAATGAAACATATTTTAATAAAAGAGGTAAACATACTAAGCTGTAAGGACCTTAAGAATACCCAAAAAAACTATCAGTTTCTCCCTTTAACTAACCAAAACAACCTGAAACAAAAATTGAGGTTCAAGTTTAATTAGCTCCAGATGTAAAAGTCAGACTCACAATCAGTAGGGAAGGAAGTGCCCATGAACTTCTACTATGCCAGCTGTCATTAAGTCATTCAACAAATGAGTGACAATTACAGTATATGCCAAGCGGGAGAGACAGTGAGGAAGCTCCTATCCTCATTTAACCTCTATGACAATCTTATGAAATAAGTGTGATGGTTATAGTGTGAGCTTCAAAGACTATGAGGAATACAGTCAAGGCCCTAGTACAGTACCCAAAATGAAGTCTGTCTGATACTAAAACCCGCATTCTTAATCCTTTCCCCACACCACACTACCCATTAATAGTAGGAAAGCAGGTGATCTTCATCTGACAAGGACTAATACCAACCTGTTTTATTATGTTTAAATACACTGAAAACCATAAAATAATACTGGGAAAAATCAAGTAACCTGCCCAAGACCAGCTAATTGATAAATAAGAGAGGCAGCACTTCAACTCTTCTGAGTCCTAGGCTACTAGTAAGATACATCCATCTTCTCCCTCTGGGACTTAACATACAAACATGTAACAGATACTCAATAATAGTTTGAATTTATTTAGTTTAATTAATGACCTGAAGATTTGAGAGTCTCGCTCTTTGATTCTATCTCCCTTACATTTAAAATTCACGGAGCTGGGGATTTAGCTCAGTGGTGCTGCTTTGCAAGCACAATGCCCCAAGTTCAATACCTGGTACTGGGGAAGAAAAAAAAAAAGTAAAATTTACAACTGAAAATCATCCACATGCTCAGGAATCACTGAAGCTTCTGGGTTCTCAGCAATCACATGCTTCTGCCAAGAGCACTGAAATCCACATATATTTCATATCTAAATCTATTATTTAATAGCATTTCATATCAACACAAGATTTTATATATAGTTTTGACACAACTATAAATTTGAAGCAAAAAAGATAAAATTATAACTCACAATAACTATGGGCCACATCTTATTTTTATTTTATTCTGAGAAATCTCTTACAACACCCAAAATTGTGTATAGCTAAACACAGTATTTTGAGAACTATCAGAATTTTTTGAGATATTATACACTATAAATGATCCTCAGTTGTCTAAATGTACTACATTCCAAGGAACTGCAAGAAAAATAAATCTACTAGCATTCCATATTTAAGCAAGTTGATGTTCCTATAAAAATAAGTATTAAATGAAAGTGTAATACTAAAAGCAATCATACTTTGAGATATACCATCATAACTATTTTTAATAAAACTACAAAAGCTTGAAACTATGTAGTCTGATTACTATCACCATATTTAAAAATACATGACACTGAAGTTTAAATTTATAGATAAATAATATACATAATATAGAAAAATTATGATTTCTGGTAAAAGTCAAGCTTATTCAGTTATTGAAGTTGAATTAAGCAACACATTGTTCAAGACAGTAAAATAAATATATATGTATGAAAGCATAAGTCAAAACATAAAAATAAGTTTGCAAAGTTGCAGGACAAAAATGTCCTTATTCTCTTACAAATACTGTATATAAGTTTTGCTATAATTTTCAGCTCTAATTAAAGCCATTTATTTATTTCTTGGGGGGTGGGATTAAGACAGGGTCTCACTATGTAGTTGAGACTGACCTGGAACTCACTATGTAGCCCAGGCTGGTCTCCAACTCACAGTGATCCTCCTACCTCAGCCTCCCATGTGCTGGGATCACAGACGTGAGCTACCACGCTTGGTTAAAGCCATTTATTTTAAAAATGTATAAGAGAATGTAGAAGAGGCAATTTCTGCAAAATTCTTCATTCAGAATATTCTATATACTGATGAACTATTCAAACCAATTATGTTTTCTCAACCATTATTTCATAAGCCAAGATGTACTTCTTTTTCTTTTTTTTTTAAAGATAATGGGATTGAACCAACTCAGAGCCTTCTCATTTTGCTATACCCTGGGTCCTCAGACCCCTAGTGCTGGGATTACAGGTGTGTGCCACCACACTTGGCACTGCTGAATATTTAACTAGTGTCCTTTGTTTAAAAGCATCAGCAATTTAAAAATTATGTATTTCAACCCTCCTTGAAAATGTTCAGCATTGGCTGAGGCAGGAGGATCACCGTGAGTTCGAGATCAGCCTGGGCTACACAGTGAGTTCCAGGTCAGTCTCAACTACATATGAGACCCTGTCTGAAAAAATAAAAAAAAGAGAGAGAAAATGTGCTGAATCTATAGACATCTTTTCATTATTTTAAGGTTTCTATTGCAGAATCTAACAGTGGCATACATCTGTAATACAGCAATTAGCAGATAGAAGCAGAAGGATAGCAAGTTTGAAGCCAGCCTGGACAACTTAGAAAGATTCTGTCTCAAAGAAAATATTTTAAAAGGCCTGGGGATATAATTCAGTAGTAGAGTGCCCTTGGGTTCAACCCCCAGTACCAGAAAAAAAATCTTAAAAATATTCGTATGAGCATCAGATATTTTAATCTATGCTAAAATGTATATATGTATATGTATATATGCACATACATATTTTTTTCCAAATATATCTGTAAGGAAGGAGGGGTAAAGTGAAAAATACTTTTTCTCTTTCTCTTCCCTGTGACTACCAATAAAAACTGTTAAGCAGGCTGTGTGCTTGCTTCTGAGAAGTAGAGAGAAAACTTTGGAACTGTTTTTAGTTACACAAAAGTAACAAGGAAGAGCAAGAGAAAGACACATAAAAGAAAAGATGAGCAGAATAAGTAAGTACCCCTAAAGGGGGGTTGCTTCAGAACAATTCCCAATGCTCAAGGCAGCACTCTTAAACTTCCAATCTTCTCAGCCTCCATCCAGAACCCTAATGATCTGGGGTAAGCAGTATTCTCACAAAGCCTGCCTGCCTTCTTACAATAATAGCTAAGCACCAGGTACAATACCAAATGAATCATCTTTTTTTCATCCTCCCAACAACCTGAGGACTGAGGCCAAAAGAATTTCTGTAACTTACGGTCACAAGACTGGTAAGTGGTAGTCCAACGAGAAACCCAGAATCTCTATTCTGCTAACCACTACACTATGTCCACTTTTCTTGCAGATTTCAAAGCCTCACTAACATTTACCAGCACAAGATGAAAAAGTAATATTAAGGAAAATGCTCAAACATATATTATAAGCAAGCCGTTAAGCATTAATTCACACATATGAGTAGATCCCAAAAAACACAAGTTTTGCTCCAATAAGGGTTAGTATTAGAATATGTACTGGAATAACATAGAATGTGTTTTCAAAATTTTGGGGAACATGACAACCCTAAAAGCTTACTACTCAAAAGTGTGGGTGGCCAAACATTCTTAAAACGCAGAATTTCAGGTCCCAGCCCACACTTAATGAATCTGCATTTTAACAAGATTTTCAAGGGAAACCATATGCATTTTAATTTTGAAAAGCATTATTCTAAAATGGTGAGCAGCAATATGAGCAGCACGGGCCTAGAAAAAAGTCTTTGTAGTTCTTAAAATTAACAGACACTGGCCAGGGATTTAGCTCAGCGGTGCCACCTGCCTCACAAGTGCAAGATCCTGAGTTCGATCTCTGGTACCCAAAAATAAATTAAATAAATAAATAAAAATAAACAGACATCTCTTGGAAATCACTGATCTTTGAAAAGCACAGGACTTCAAACTGACACACTTTCTGCTAAATTTATAGTTCTCAAAATTTCCAGTCACCAGTAACTCCAATGTTCTATGGCATTCTTCCAAAACAATAAAAAAAGGAGACAAAACAAAACATCAAAACTGTACTTGCTGCCTGGACCACAGCACATTCTCTTAGAGTAATATTTAAAGCTAGAAGACTGTCAATAATTATATGCATATTGTTACTGATCTTGAAGTGGCCCAATCCAGAAAAGATGATGTAACTCATAAAGATCAGAGATACAAATACCTGAGAAAAGAAGCAAGTGTCACTCTGCATCAAAACACCAACTTCACTTAAAATGGATACAGATCATAGCAGCTAATTAATACCACACTTGGGCCAGGGACTTAGTTCAGTGGTTCTGCCGCCTACCTTGTAAGCACAAGGACCCAAGTTC